TAATGATTCTAGTGAATAGTTGCGGTTCATTATTCTACAGTAAAAGCTAAGTGAGAGGGTGGAAGACTGGAGCAGCTCATTCCACTCTGATTACCCTGTCACAGTGGCGACTTCGCGTCCACATCCTAGTCTGTCCTTACTGGGCTAACAGTACGGTGACTCATAACCTAATCTACGTTTCCTGCAGTGGCTCACACGTTTCGGCCTACTTGTTTTAAGGCAACACTATCCACGTTGAATATTAACATGTACTTGGTGAGTGCTAATTAGAAGTATGACGTAGCTGCGCCCGGAGTATGGGAGCATCCCAGTAACATCACTAACATCATCATACAGATGTCCAAGTGGTCTTTGTATCGTTGCTAATTTTGGCTCTAAACAGTTTTAAGTGCGACTCACTGTTGCTGTCCGGTGGCCTCCTTATCCTCATTTCCTGAAAAATTGTCCACTCCGTTAATTGTTTTACCTTCTAAAGAACTGCTTGAATAAATATGACAGTTACTGAAGAATATGGCGAAAGCTAACGTTTATACTGCTTACCGAGAGAGGGAGCAGCCCCAGCGAAGGAGTAATGAGGTTATCGTGAATGTTTACTCTCAAGACTGATACTTTTATCATCAATTGTATTACCATCGAAGCCGTGAGTTCGCACGTAATTTCTCAAAACCGAAAGAAAATCGAATACATTGATGTGCATGTCACTTCGTGTTTTCAGGACAAAACTAACATCGAGAGCTGGAACTGCTGGTACAAACCTGAAATGTATCATTCAACTTCTGAATATATAGCTGCAAACCACAAGGAGATTATTTTACTCCCTAAATTTGAAAGTTTGAAAGAATTTTCTTTTGCTTGTTCAAGTAGTGAAAACAAGAGCTGAAGAAATGTTTGCCTCAAGCAACCACACTTTAAAACAATCTTGGGCTGGTGGGCAATTGTTGTGAATAGAATCCCTTTTAGAAAATGGTTATGGACCTGGAAAGAATCTAACCACTCTTTCCTTTCGCACGTGACATGCTATCCACTACGCCACCAGTATTTGCGATCCAGGATCAGCCTGAAGCGCACCTACTGTGTACTTTCCTTTCAAGGCAAAATATACCTTTTTTTTCTTGTCTATTTCCAATAGCAAGCATGCATCTTTTTTTTGTGGCGGCTTCTCTGTGGTATTTGCAAGTTTTCCGCTATAATTGTTGGTCAGTCAGGTGGCGGTTTGCTACTGCCACTGCTCGAGGGAAAAGAAATTTCAAAGTAAGCGTGATTTAGCATTATTCTTTTAATCTGACAGTTTTCGACTAAATTTTGCGCTGATTTTTAATCCCGATTTTCAGTAATTCATATGGATAGCGACTGGCCTCATCGCTCCTAGCCTAGGCGGACTTGGGCTCTTTCTCTTTACTTGCTTTTTTGCTCCTGGCTGTCCAGCACATGCTTCTCAATGATAACTCAAAATGAGTTCCGAGAAAAGTAG